TTAAGTTTTTTGTTCTTTTTATACTTGTTTTCAATGTTTGTTTCTGTCACTTTTAGTCACTTTTGTGGGGGGAGACAGAAACTAATAATATGAATAACAGCAACAACAAATTACAACAACAACAAAGGATGAAAGAAGTTACATTTTCCTGCAGGCACTGGTGGAGGAAACGGGGTGTGGTGGGTGCAGCCCGCCCCAGGTGTCATCTGGAGGGGGACATCGCTGCCCCGCCCCCCTGGGATGCTCACTGCGGGCGTCCCCCTGGGATGTTCGCCCCACCCCCACGGATGCTTCCCCTGCCCCCGTGGGCTGTTAGCTCTGCCCACTGGTGGAGGAAGGTGGGTGTGGGGGGGCACTGCTCCAGGTGTCATTGCTGAGCGGGGGTGACATTTGGTGCTCCGCCCATCCATGACTCGGACTCGTGCCGTTTTGCCAATTCCTTCCTCTCCCCTTCCCGCTTGCCTGCCTCCTTTCCGTCCTCTCCCCTGCCTGCCTGCCTCCTCCAGCCGGGAGTGCGGCACAGCAGCTCCCCCCTTCCCCTGATGGCTGGCGGTAGACGTGAGAGTCACGGGCAGGTGGTGAGCGGTTGCCCCATGCCCCTGGCTGGAGGAGGCAGGCAGGCAGGGGAGAGGACGGGAAGGAGGCAGGCGAGTGGGAAGGGGAGAGGCAGGAAGCAGGATCGGTGCCCCTGGGGCATGTGCCTGCCCTGGGCAGTGTGGGCATATGCTCCGCTACTAGCCCCGCCCCCGGGTGTACAGTATGTGCGCTGCGCCACTCCGGGTGCCAGCTAGCTCTGCCTCTGCCTGCAGGTGGCTATTTCAGACTGTAAAAAGCTTCCACTTGGTCAATCTGAGCCAAATATATCCTGTGCTGTGGGATAGGAGTAGTATAACTGTTGGAATGTGGTAAGCATTCAATGCAATTTTCCATAATTGTGCAAAAAAAAAGCTCGTAGGAAGATGGGAAGCTGCCTTAGATTGATCCATCTACTGTGCCATTGTCTACACATTTTCAATGACTGCTAGTGGCCAATAGGGCAGGGGTGGGGATCCAGAGCCCTCCAGATGTTGTTGGTTTCCAACTCCCATAAGTCCCAGAGAGCATTGTTAATGGGCTGGGATAATGGGTGTTGTAGTCCAGCGGCATTGGGGTGGGGGAGCTGTAGGTTTCCTGCCCCTAACCTAAGGTTTCAGTCAGGGGCCTTCTAAAGCCTACATAGAAATTCTAGGGATGCAAGCAGTGACCATTTGTATGCAAAACATGTGTTCTGCTACTAAGCTGCAGTCCATATATGGCTGGGGTGTAGTACACAATACGTGTCTGTAGCTTTTTAATTTTGAAAAATTGTTTTATTGCTTTTCATGTAAGGTAATTCATTTATTGTATGTTAAGTGAATGCTGTGGACCATGGTTGTGCATTTTTTATAGGCTTCAATTTATATAGACCTATAGACCTAGAAATATATACAGATGTTTCTGCTATAATGGCATATTATGTATCTTATCAAAATCATCTAGGGTGCAGCGAGTTATTGAAACCATTAAAATTTGAATAAGCAACGTAAATGCACTAAGAAATGCTATTCCTTCTTGGTCAGTGACTGACTAATCCAAACTTACAATTTCCAGTATAAAATTTAATAACCCAGAGACTGACCAAAAAGCATATGTCATATATGGAAGCTTTTAATAGCTAAGCAACAGCCTTTAACCTATTCAGGACTCCTTATCTTTCTTTCCATGCCCTGAGTCAAAGCTCAGATTTGTGTAACATATTTTTCAAAGGTTGTTTTTACTGCCCTTCTATAGTGTTCACCCCCAAAAAATTAACATCAATTTTGATACACGTCTGGTGCAATTTTAGCAATTTTATGTAGTCATGTTAAAACATTGTTCAGTGTTTAAGAGTCACAATATTTCTTACTAGCGTTCCCCAAAATGATCTAAGTTACTAGAAATGTGAAAACAGAATTATGCAGTTTTATCATTCTTTGCAGTAAATGATATCACTGGCTTTTCATATTTCCACTTTCAAAGGATGAGAGGTTTCAAGTCTTATGAACAGGGCAAGTTTTTCTTTTTCCATCCATTAAGTCAGAAGGTCGCAAAGATTAAAAGCTAGCCAGACTGAATGAGAATGCTAATAAAAGTCAGATACAGCTTTTAACCTTTTTTAAATGCAGCTGCCTAATCTTTACTAATTTCTCTTTCAAATTAATATTATAGAAGAACAGAAAACATCTAAAAAGTAGTTGGGAAATATAAGGATAAAAACTTCAAAAATTATTAATGTAATAATTACAAAATCTAATATAAATCTAATCATTACAACCCCCCTCAAATATAAGCATAGAGCAACGCAGTGAAAAATGTATCTAAGATTACTTGTAAAACTACTTCAGTTGGTTTACCAACCAGGTCCTTTCCTGGACAGGTGTAGTAGAGCATTGGTAACTGTATGTCTGGATTATTGTAATGACCTCTGTCTGGGACTTACTTGAGACTGGTCCAGAAGCTGCAGCTGGTGCAGAAAGTGAGGCAGCTGACCATACATTCATTATACCTGTGCTGAAGGAACTACACTGACTGCCTATTAGCATGATCAAGGTCTTGCTGTTAAAGTACAAAGCCCAGCGCAACTGAGGACCAAGTTACCTGAAAGTCTGCCTTGCCATTTGTAATTATCACCCTTTGTGATTATCACTAAGATAACCAGATGGGACTGAATTAGTGATACTGTGAGACTGGCATAGGATCCAGAGGATTATAGGCCAGTTGAGTTCTACCTCCACCCTACCGTTGAGACACCTTGTTTCAGTGCTTTCTGCTGGGCTCCACTGTGGGTAGGACAAGTATGCACTGATGCTGCCACTCCATTGAGTGTGGTTGTTGTGAAGTCAGGTAACCTGGCAGAATGCAAATCTGCATTCCACAGTCCAAATGTATTGGGAAGGTGGACTGCAGCCTTAGAAATGCATATTTTGAGTGGGAAAACATTCAAATATATATATAGTGGTACCTTGGTTTAAGAACTTAATTCGTTCTGGAGGTCTGTTCTTAACCTGAAACTGTTCTTAACCTGAGGTACCACTTTAGCTAACCGGGCCTCCTGCTGCTGCCATGCCACTGCCACGCGATTTCTGTTCTCATCCTGAGGTAAAGTTCTCAACCCGAGGTACTGCTTCCTTGTTAGCGGAGTCTGTAACCTGAAGTGTTTGTAACCCGAGGTACCACTGTATGGAAATGTGATTTTGTTCCCTGCAGATCCTTTTTTATAACTTAAAGATCTGCAGATCCATGTGGTTAAAAGGGTAGAACAGGTTTATGGATCTAAAAAACATAAAACAAAACAAAAGGCAAATAATAATTTTTTCAGGTTCAATCTGAAGGTTGTATTTATAGCCTGCGGTGGAATTAAACTGACAGCTTTGCTTTCCTCATATTAAAATGCCCCCTCTTGACATTTCAAGGTTGTTCCTAAATTCCTAATATCCATGGACTTTAAAAATTGTTCCCTCCGGTTGTCTCTTCTCTCCCTCCCCCAGTCACCTGAACTGGCAGCCACAGCATGATCTCTTAAGTGTCGTATGGCTGTAGGTGCAGGAGGTGTCTCTTGTGGAATTATTTGCCACATTGCAAAGAAATGATGAAATCTAATTTTGAGATTATGGGCTGATCGGAAATGCCCAGCATTCACAGCAAAAGAATTATTATAGAATCCTTCTAATTCTATAGCCAAATTATAGCCAGATTTCCTTAAAAACAACACCATATTCTGTTACTAGATAGATGTGGTAGGCATTCAGGACGCGGGAATTTGGTCTGCGGCCTTTTAGCAGGCATTTCTAGGTCATTCTAGAATCCTACCATTGCATCCAAAAGAAGAAATCTGCTAGATTAGATCAACAGTCCATCTAATTCAGCATCCTGTTTTCACAGTGGCCAACTAGACGCCTCTGCGAAGTCCAGAAGCACAACAGCAACTGGTTTTCAAAGACGCACTGACTCTGATACTGGAGGCTAGTAGCCATTGATAGTCATCATTAATTTGGATAAACTCATTTTAAAGCCGTCTAAGTTATCGCTATATCTTGTGGTAGTGAATTCCATAGTTTAAATTGGCCACTGTGTGATTAAGTAGTTCCTTTCATCTGTCCTGAATCATGAACGTTCAGCGTCATTGGATGGCTTCAAGTTCTAGTATTATGACAAACAAACCAAAGACTACTTTACGCACTTTCTTTACACCTTGTACAATTTTATCAGTTTTATACACCTCTGTCATGCTTCCCCCCCACCATTTTCTATAACCCCAACAGTCTAAAATGACTCAACCTTTACTTATAGCTGAGTTGTCCAGCCCTTTGATAATTTTGGTTGCCCTTTTCTGAAGCCTTTTGAGCTCTGTGATATCATTTTTTAAGCCCAGCAACCGGAACTGAACACCGTATTCCAAGTGCAGTCATATGCCATAGATTCAGTACTGAGTTAGGATCAGCACACTTGATGGGCCTGCTCAAGCACTACAAGAGCTACAGCCAATGATGGATTGGCTCAATATACCAATTTGCGTGCTGTTGTCAAATTTAAGCATGCCAAAGAGAGCCAGTGCCAATTGAAAGTCCAGGAGACCATCTGCTATTTGGGTTCCAGGTTTCAAACACAAATAGTGATATATACATGAACCGGCTTTATTTGGAAACCAATTATACAACCCAAGAGAAATAGGCCACTATAGTCAGGGCCATTATTTTCTTTTTTTATGACATTTTTATTCCACTTCAAGGAATGCTGGATAATTGGAGACAATTTTATTACCACAACAAACCTGTAAAGAATATAAGAAAACTTCTTTTTCAAGTTTCAGAAGTAAATATTTAAGCATTGTACTGTGTTGCATTTTTTATTTTCCCCAACCCCTTGTTCTTAGTGTTTTTTAAGGTCTTGCTCGATCCATTTGATTTTTAAAACTTTATTTGTAAATGTACTTTTAAAAAACCCCACATTAAAACAATTTAAAAACAAGGCATAAAATAAATGTAGATAGCAAAAATAATTCAATTGAAGCCTATACATAAAATAAACAAGAAACAAAATCTATTTCAGAGAAACTGGGAAGGAAGCAAAGAAAAATCAGTGGAAGGCAGAGAACAGTGCATTGGTACTTTCCAGGCTCGTCCCTTTCAATAGCCTCCAGTGCCTTCTCCTCCCACCTGCCGCTGGAGGAATCCCGTGGACAGCATGAGATTTAGCATGTAGGGGGTGCTGCAACTGATGGCAAAATCAGAAGAATTCATCAGGGCTGCTTTGCACAAGCAAAAGTCTTTTCCACCCACACAAGATACCTTCAGATCCAAGCCAATAAAACCAATGCCATACATGTAACTAAATAATGTGATGGATAGTTGTGGCACTGTATACAGTGTTGCTTTGAGCATTGTTAAGAGAGAAGTGACTCAAGTTTTTAAAATATAAATAAACAAATGTAGCATTTGTTTTCTTCCAGACTTTCCCCCTCTCCATTCCTATATATTACTGTTGGCTTTGCTTTCATTCTTAAGTTTTGGCCAACAACATTCCTTACTACTGTAAGATTTTGTATCAAATATATATTCCATATATTCTGTGTTGCAATAGTTTTCTGAATATAATTTAGACATGTAACATGCAAGCATTGGGAGGTGTAGAGAATAAAATTGATACATTTATAGTGAATCAATCTTTTTAGTATTGTATTTATTCTGGCAATTTTCAAATGATTATTTAACTAATTCAGTCCTTCCGTGAGATGTGTTTCAGTTTGCTAAAAGATTTTCAACTTATGCTTAGTTTTGGTATATCTACCAGACCTTTTTCATTTTGGCTAGAGAGAAAGAGCTGTGTGTCCTCTTCATCCTATAACGGAATTAATTTATTCTATTAAAATTATTTCACCTTCTTCTTCACACTTCTTATTATTAGAGAATGGCTTTTATATTCTCTGTTCCTGAGGATAAGTTTCCCTAAAGTTCTGCTTCTGTTTGGACAGATCTTGCACAACAGGGAATGATCAAAACTCAAAGTCATTCCATAAGAAATAGCACAACAAAGTAGAAATGTGCCAAATTGCCCAGAAACAATTTGGATAGCTGGCAAGCCGGGCTGCCTGCTGGTTTGTGAACAGTGTAGGTAATTTGCCACTCAAAACTCTCCTATTTGCTTCAATAAATTGTAGGGTACTTAGGATCCTTCTATCTGTTATCCATCTGTCTGTATTTCTTTGCACTGTCAGTGTCTGACAGTAGGTCTGTCATCTTAACTATGTCTGGGTTTCACACCATTGAATCCAGGAGCCATACAAAATGGGGCATGCTATTTTGGGGCTGTAAGTTACATGGCGCACACAGACAACAGTGTGTCTATGTAGTCTAATAATAATTTTTAAAAAGCTGTAGATGCTAATGAAAATGGCATGGTGAATTTATTGTATCTAAGTGTTCACCTCAGTAACATGGTAAGGATAAATTGTGATAAGCTTTCACAGCAGGAGCACCTCAAGCGCTTAAGATACATAACATTCAATAAAGAGCTTGCCATCCAAACAAAGTCCCAGCAGTACTTGAACTGCACTGTTCATTAGGTCTGAATGCCAACTTTCATTTAAGCAGAATTCATGTCTATTTGATCGGGATTATGGTAAAGTATAAAGGAATGGGAGCTTTTTTTCGTTGATTGCAAATTGTAAAATCTGTCTTTTAAAACTAGAGATATGCAGAAATATTGTTATGCAGCTAGTAGCAGCATCTAACATAATTATTATGCACCTGTGTTTGCTATCATCATCATCATCATCATCATTTTCACTTACATCATCCTTTTATCCACCAGGTGGAATCAAAGCAGTTCACGAGCAGCTTAACAACATGTCAACAGTATGAACAGAAACAAAATAAAAATAAATTGATAAAAACCGCATAATCAAACAACAAATGTTGGAAAACTGAAAACTAATCCACATAAGGGAAGATATATCAGACTAAAAACATTAATTGAAATGCCTCTTTAAAACAGCCAAGTTTTAGTCAAATACCTAAAGGTCTAAAATGTCAGGGTGTTATGGATCTTCACTTAGAAGGCAGTTCCATGGGGTAGGTGCCACTACCAAAAAGTTTCTGCTCCTAGTAACCATCTTTCTCAACACCAATGGGCAAGGCCTCAAACAGGGAGGAACATTTGGAAGAAGATACCCAACCAGCATGGGGTCCCACTGGCAACCAATGTAGCATGAACCACATATGTGTAGCAGATCAGTCAACAAACTGGCTGTAGCATTTCATACCAGCTAACATTTCTAGACTAAACCACATTACATTGTAGAAAGTACCATAGGTCATAGGAAGCTGCATTTGCCCATCTACCTCAGGACACATAGTGCTGAGTATGTGAGGCAGGAGACTAAGGATGTGCACATTTTCCCTATTCTATCCCTCTGTTGGCCCCACCCCAAAGCTGCCTTGGGAGCACCTGCACATTTGCAGTGGGACAGCTGTCTCTGTGAGCTGGAACCCAGAACACTCTTAAGAATACTGAGGTTTTAATGATTTAAACAGGTATAAATGGAAGTAGGCAATCTATCAATTAACCCAGTTCTCAGCTTTTATGGCTGTTAAGCCATCCTTTGAATTGGGTCCAGAAATGGACTGGAAGCCAGTGCAGCTGACGAAACAGCTGATACCTACAATTTTCCATTAATAATCTTGCGGCCAGTTTTCAAGCAGCTGATGTTTCTGGATGTTTTTCAGAGGCACTCCCGTGTATTGCATGCTTAACCCTCATGTGATACTGCTGCTGTACAGAACACCCAGAAGGGCACTGCTGAGAGACAGAACTCCTCCTGCCTCCCCCACCCATGTCTAATGAATGGAAAACAGTTCAGGCCCCTTATCCACAATTAAATCATATTTATTACTGCTTAGCAGTATATTATAATATAATAATATAATATAATATAATATAATATAATATAATATAATATAATATAATATAAATGTACTATCACTACTATTAGGTCAAAATCTATAAATGTAGCCGACATAGGGTAGTGATAAGCTCCAGTAATCACTTGTGGTCACTGATAAATTCTGGAAACTGATAAATTCTGTAACAGTTCAAACTTCTAGACAGCCATCCAGTCCAACCCCATATGCAGTGCATAGCAGTAATCAAGCCTTCAAATTTTTAAGGGGTAAATGTCAGGTAACAATGGAAGATTTAATTATTGCAGGCATTCACCTAGGTTAAATCGAACAGGCACAAGTCCCCTGAATTTTGGAAATGGCCTACATATGAACAATAATGTAACAGCTTCCCTGAGTTGAAGGGCTAATTGTTCAAGGATGCTCTTGACGTTCATGAACCTCTCTTAAATAAACATTGACATGCCAATTTGAACAGTAATAAAATCTACCTTTCTAGAGTATGCCGCCATAAAAATAAAGTGTATATTTTTCAGTAATACTTTAATAGCTAGAACTGAAACTAAAAACAGTAGATTGTTAGATTTTACAAGCATTTTAAATTATATCACTCAGCAATTATTGGCAATGTGGAGCCCATGCCTGCAATTATCTAGTGCTTTAAATTATATGAAATCAATATAGAGATAACTTTATGCCCTATAATGGTATCCATTTAATCTGGATTCTACACCTTTCCTGCAGATGACACCACACATTTAATTGTCTTGTAAATGCAGCTATTTAGGAGACATTTAACGGTATTCCCATGATCTGATATTTGAGTATAACCAACTGGCGAAAATATCATTGTTTCAATTGAACGACACTGGTTTAATGCTGTGGGTAAGCAGCCATTTCTCAGTGTTATGTTATTCAGAGGGGAAATTTGTGATATAAAAATAATGGAAACACAATGGGTTGTATCTAATGGTGTCTGCACATGAGCTGAATGGACTTCTTGTGCAATGGGACTTCCTCTCCCTCTCCCCCAAATCTGCTCTAGATTGTTGGGGGATCCTATAGAGCAGATTTGGGGAAGGCAAGAGTGAAGTTCTATTTGGCAACTGCAAGTCCACTTGCACAATGTTGGATTCTAACCTATAACCTTCCATGTCCCCCAATGAATGACACTTGTGGAAATGTTCTTTCAACAAAGAGCAAGTGGACAGTTTATGCACGCAGTGTTTGCATATTGATCAAGCATAAGTTTCATACTTAGGTTTGTACTTAGGTTGGCACAAATAGTGTTTGTGATTGCAGATAAAGGGAAGAAGAGATCAGCAAACTGAAACAAAGGGGATCAAATTATTACTGGCATGATGCAGACAGGAATGCTAAGATGCATTTTGGGCAGAAAGTGCTTTTTGCTCGCCATACGAAATGAACAGAGCCTAGTTTCTTACCCTTTTGGAAATTCTTACAGTAATTTTGTATATCTTCAGTTAAAATAAAATAATCAGTTTTTGAAATCAATTTTGCTGCTAACGCATTTTGGTATTCAAATAATATTTCTCATCTCACTGCCATAGCGGATTTCTCCTGTATTGTGAGCAAACTGAGGAATTTGATATAAAGGGTTGCTCGCCCCTTTCTCGGGTGAGTGGCAGTTGCAGCTCCTCACCCTCAACCACCATCTCCAGCAGCCAGAACCCACGGGTTTGTCGGCCATTTTGGATGATTGAATTGGATGTTTGATATATTTTCAAAGAAAGCATTTGGAATAGCCTTTTTTAAAAAATAAAAAACCCAACCACTGTATTTCCTTTTGCACCAATCCTTTATTGCCTATGGGATTATATTTTGTAAAATATTTTTAAAATAAAAATTTGAAAATTAAATTATTGGCCTTACCTTTCCAAATTGTGTCTATTCCAAAGTGCTGTGTGTCCTCTGAGTGTACATTAAATAATGATCTAGCTGGAAGTAACTGCTTTTAAAATAATTTTTCTGCTGTAGCAATCTTTAACTGAGCAGTTAACTCTCCATTTAGTATGGCCAAGAGAGTAAGAAATAATCATCTGCTTTTATCCGAGTGAAACCCCAGAGGAAGATCCCATTGCTGATGGCCTATCAGCATGGGCTAGATGATACTAAATGGCAGAAAATGTGAATGGATCAGTAAAATTTAAATTTTTATGGTCACTCTGAAAATACAGTGATCCTATTTGGGTTATTGCACTCTCCATCTGTTAATTTTATGCTGTTGCAATCTGCATATCTAGATTAAACAGATGGCCATCAATTGCAGTAGGTGTTTGCAGTTTAGGACTGTGATTTTAAATGCTAAATCAGAAGAGGCTAAAGACCAGGGTGATGTAGAAAGTTCAACTTCTTTTGTTGAAACCATTCTCAAACTCAATAGAGGCCTACAGACTGCTACACTCAATTACAGTTCTAACATGAATGTCATTGAGCCTGCATCCCTCTTCTCTTCCTCCCAGAGTTCTAGCTGTATCTCTCCTTAATGATCAAAACATACTAATATCAATAAATGCAAAGCTTAAGGCAGACTCTTTATGCTTTTTAAACAAAGAGGTGTACTACTTTGTAAAATCAGCAGATACAATATTTTCAAAAACTCAGAATTATATGAATTTGGTCACTTTGGAGCTTTATTAATAATGGTTTATAACTAATTTAATAAAAATAAAATGCAGACAAAGAGCTAGAGAGAGAAAGAGAAATCAACTGCTCACATTATTACTAGCAGTAATGGCTAGTACCCAACACTGCCAACCTCTGATGACATTCCTTCTTAACTGAGTGGTAGTTCTGGTGGATCACTGTTATCCCTTGAAATATAGAGGCTGACATATGATCATACCAGAAATGTGTGCTTTGTCCTGGAGGTGAAAGATGATGCCCTAGTTTAGGCATACCATTCTTCCTTCCCTTCCTTCCTATTCTATCCTTTGAACTCATACATGTACAATAAAAATAAAATAAAAGCAAACACTTAAAATGAGCTTTCCCACTGCAGTGATTTACTTGCAGCAGCCTGCTTCAAAACCAGGACTCTCCCAGGGAGAAGAGAAGAACATGTAATGAGATACAAAGACAAACTTTTTTCTAGCTGAACTCAGAACATCTCTGCCGATAGAGTTTTAGGATTTTCTGAATGACATTGGAACACAACACATGTAATTGGTAGAATAATTATTAAAATAACTGCCTAGCAAACTAAAATAAAATGTGAAGAGGTCATGGATATAATGACACTGTTAAAATTATTAGGATTTAATAAGTAGCATTGTTAAGCCAACAGGGAATTGATTAGCTGAACTTTCAGAAATCAGATGAAACAATAATTGCTAAGCAGCATTATGTTAGTCTGATTTGGAAATTACTGAATGGGGGAATATGCTGTTGATGATTATAATAATTATATGTCATTTATAGAGAGCCATCACTGTTCATAGTATTTTACAATGAGACAGGTCTATGATACGTACGAGGCTAAAGCCTAAAGTTTGACAAGTAGGCCAAAGAAAGTTTGTTTCACTGAGTTACCATACACAGATGATGAAAACAAGAAGAGGAACGAGTCTGAGAAACAGTTGCCAAAGGGACTCACATCCACTTTCCAATCTGCCTGAGCTCCTCAGTTTATACAGCAGGCTTCATGTGATACTAAGGCACCTTGAACTCCTTTATTTAATTAGAGAGCTTCTTTATCAATCCTTCAAGAACAGTCTCATGAAATGTTTGCTAGGCCCGTCACTCCATAAGCTACTAGAAGGGTTTCTTATTACTGCTAGAGTACAATTGGCTCAACTTGTTTCTCTCCAAGGATCAACACATGACTTCAAGATTGTTAGAGATCAGGAAACTTGATAATATGTATTCAGATACTCCAAAGCTCTGGATAAACTGGGCATGGATGCAAAGGAGAAAAGGAGTGGAAAGAGGAAAGTCAACTGGTCAGGAGGACGGTGGAGTGGAAAGTAACAAAAAGTTTCCTCTCTTTTGACCTCATCCCCCTTATACATTTCTGGAGGTCCCCAAGTGTTGATATATTTTATCATTTTAGATGGAAATCTTTCCTTAATAATAGCCTGAAGAGTTAAGTGGAAAGTTTAGATTCAAGCACTAGCAAATAAAACATAGAAGCAAATGGTCATCTTGTAGAAGGAAAAACAAGGAAATATGATCCCATAAGCATAAGGAACATATGACACTGCCTTCTACTCAGACCATTGATTCATCTAGCTCAATACTGTCCATGCTGAGTGGCAGAGGCTCTCCAGGATTTTAGGCAAGGCTCTCTCCTAGTTCAACTAGAAGATGCTTAAAATTGAATCCTGGACTTTCTTTATGCAAAGCAGATACACTACCACTGAGCTATGGTCCTTTCCCAGATAGTAAACTGTCTTATACAAAGTCAGACCATTGGCTCATCTAGCACAGTATTGCCTACACTGACTGGTAGCCACTCTCCAGCATTTCAGTTCCAACTGTACATGGAGATGCTATGAACTGACCCTGGGACCTTTTCCATGCAGGTGTTCTACCACTGCTTTGACTGAGAAATAGTTTTGAGGGAAGGTTTTGATTCAGACCATTTTATAAGCAGAGTTTAAACAAAATGAAAACTGCTGGAACTTTCATCACCATTGCTTATGGATTTAACCATATGCTTGTACTTGATCTTTCCCCATGAAAGCCTACATGTTCTTTTCTGAGTGTGTTTGCGTGAACTGACAAAAAGTTTTATATTGGATCACCCCATAATACTTTTAAGTCTGACAAGATGTTTTCATCTCATATGGCAGGAGATCCACCTGCTTTCTTGCTTGTGGCTGCATGGATGGTGTATCTGTGCTTGATGTCACCAATAGCTTGTATTGCATCTGTTACACCCATGTGCTGTCATATTTCTTCATTTTATATACCGTCACTAAGAGAGATATTTCACATGTGTCATTTCATAGCTCTTTGTATAACACCTAATTTTTCTTCATCAGTTAATGTTGTCAGCCAGTACTCCACACTGTATATCATAGCAGACATGTTGGTTGAGCTCTAAAGCTGGCAGTTCATTATCAGATAATGATGGCTTTATTTTGTCCCATGCTGCTCTTCCTTTCTTGTTTTTCTTTTTGCTGCAGCATTAATGCCCCCCCCCAAAGTATGGATATTAGTCATGTGTTGGCCAAAGGTGGGCATAACTCTCCACTTCTCTTATTACTTCACCACTGATTTGAACTGGACAATACTCATTCAGCAGCCATTTCATGATGCTCCTGTTTTGCATTATTTTTGTTCCAGCTAACTTCCCTCTCTAATTCGTATGTATCATTAGCAAATATTATACAGTCATCAGCAAAAAATAAATGCTTTAGCTGTTCCCTGTCAATGTTTATTTCACACTCCCAGAGGACTTGATAGAAAAGCAATTTCAGAACTGTAGTGAACAGTTTTAGAGAATTTGTGTGACATTCTGTCTTGTGAAACATCCAGCGTTTTGGAAACTTAGGGTAGTCCATACTTTTGCTTGTATCTAGAAAGCACAGGGTCTGAGTGGTTTTAAGGGGAAAGAGGTAGGACAAATAGAAGTCTGGATAAGTGCTTGGATGCAAGACAGAAATTAGAAAAAGGAGAAGTCAGCATGAACGAGAATAGCTGTGAAATCCTATGCATGTCTACTTAGAAGTATGCTCCACTTAGTTTACTGGGACTATCTTTCTAGTAGGCAAGTTAAAGATTGCAGCCTAATAGAGATTTGCAACTCAACCTCATACTTCCTATGATCTGCTCACCTAATTGAGCAGGGTCTTTTGTAGTATGAAAATAGTTATGGGGAAATCTTCACCAGTTGACATTCTTTCTGTTAGACATCTTATTGTGTGTGCCCCCTGATTTACTTTGGTGCTCTTCTCCACTGTCTGCAAAGGGGGCACAAATTTACATATGACAAAATATCTGCAACTTTTGTCTCTCATTGTGTGAAGTCAAGAACTGAATCCACTGTGTGTATGTGTGCTAATGTTTTCCTAGACTTCTTAAGTATATTTTAGACTTCAGCAGCTGAATGATGTGGGTTTTTTGCTGTTTTATTAGCTTTTTTTGTTTTATTAGCTTTTTTTAAAACTGGATTTGAAGCTAGTTTCTTTTTGTACAGGATGAACTTGAACTAGTTCCTTTTTAAGATAAATTTTCCAAGCACTTATATTTCATCTGTAGCAATACAAAAGGTCACTATATTCTACTATCATAACATTTGGCATGATACCAACCTAACCTGGATACAACTGTTATTCTAAAATTATAAAGTACCTCCCTATTCATTACAGTGTTTTGTTATTTTTAATATATGGTGACATGAAAAGAATTACCCTCAAGCTTGTGGGGTGATCCTACAAGAAAGGAGATAGTGAAAATAAAATTCTATTTGTTTATCCAGGTTTTTGTTCTATTGGCAATCTTATTGGGGGATAAAATAGAATATTGTAAATGATCAGCAGGATTTGTTTGCTTTTGTTGATGTAGCACCATTTCCATTTTCTTATGTTGGTCACTATGTAACAGACATGGTCACTGTCTTAATACTCTCACTTTGAAGTCCAGAAATGTCAGTACAAATGGTAGCCCCTGGTTATATATAAAGTATGAAAAGTGAAAGAGGAAAGCAGAAAAATACTAGAAAGTATCTTTGTTCTTAGATGTAATACTTTCTTTTGAAGTCTTTATTTAAACATAATAGCTAACACCCTGGCATTGCTTTCACAATGAAGCTTGTGTTGTATATCTGCTAAGAGCTGGATAGATACTGGACCAAAACAGCCTTGGCCCTTTCAAACATTCACACATACCCCTACTAAGCTAAGCCCCAACTTTCTTACAAGCATTGTGTATTTTCCTGGGAATAAGTTCCAGTGTTGTTTACTTCTGACTAGATAGGTTCAAATTATAATAATACTGGGTTTTAACAAAATACATTCAGCCATCTAAAATACAATCTTTATTTGTAATCCCTCTTTTAAACTAATCTTGAAAAGAAAGGGAAGAGAAAGAGGTGCAGTTTGAAATAATGCAACAAGGAGAGTTCTCCAATGTTCAGTCTTTGCTTGAGATCAGGAATTTAGGCAGAGACTTGAAAACGTCTATGTGAGCCCATTTGAATTCCCAATCTCACTTTGATTTCTCTCCCATCTTTGATTTTGGCTGATCTGTGATGAATGTAGAATAAATCCTGCTGCCCAGACTGTACGATCCTATACTGTGCTGGGAATGGGATCACACAGCCAACACAGGATTAATTCCCCCCCTCCTGCCCATTAGCTGACATCATCAGTCAGCTGCTGGATGGGTGGGCATGGTTTGGGGAGAAACCCTGGTGAGCAAAGTTTGGCCCATGGGCTGTAGGTTCCACATCACTGGTTTAATTAATATATACTGAATTTATATTGTCTATGGCACCAAATAACTGACTGAATCTGATCTATGTCTATACTGACTCTGCTGTTGTCAACTTCGTATTTTTAATTATTCTTTTGTGCTTTGGTTTTCCATTTAAGTTTTGATAGTTTATTGATTTTTAGTATATTACTATTATTATGATTTATTATTATGCTGGTTACCAAATCTTAGAATGAATAAATACACTGAAAATCTGCTTCTTGCTGTTTTCTAACTGCATTATAAAATAATTTTTTTAAAAAAATATTTTCTACCAAATTCCTTCCAATGATCCTTTGCTCAGTACATCTTGGATAATGTTTCTACATATCTTTTGTTTTGATTATGAGAAGAGTTGAATAACAGTAAGTGATCTGAGGATCTAATCTTTCTCAAAGCATAGATATCTAAATCTTTGTTTAATCAAACCTTTAATTAATTTTTGTTTTGTTAACTAATGAACATTGACAGAAAGGATTATTTGTGTAAATAATGGGCCGGAGACTTCACTGCAACAATGCAGTCATTTCTAAAAGAGTGGGGGGGGGGGGGAGGATGTATTTATCTAAGTCTGTTCAGTTTATAATTTTTTTAGTAATTTGCATAGTATTTTATGTCCAGATTGTATTTAAAGTCCCAGTCTCGTCTTCATTCGAAGAGCTCACACCACTTATCAGGAAAATTAAATAAAGCAAAGACCAAAGGAAGATTATTTTGCAGAGATTATATTCAAGCCTGGCACTGGTAGAATATGCAGAACCATTAGTTTGCAGTATTTGCAAGCTTTGTTCTTTTTAAAGATATGCAAAGCACAATTGAGGAAGTAGTTTGTGCATTTGTTAACATCCAGATTAACCTGTATCTTGTGTTCCTGCCTTTATTATAACGTTCAGTGCAGACAGGGCTAGCACAAGACGTTGCACCTCCTGAGGCCCTGTTGCATCCCCTCCCCTCTCTCCCCCCACATGCTTACTTTCTTCCCTTTTACCACTGTGTTACCAGTAGCAACACTGGGTCTCCCACAACTTCCCCCCTTGTTCTAGAAAGGACTAAATGAAAATGATGCATTCTGGGTGAGGTGGTTTGCAGAGTGGCTGTGCTGCTTCAGTTTGCCACAGTGAGTGGAAATGCTCTTTAAACTTGGGGGGGGGGGTAGAGGCTTAATGTTATTTGGTATTTTAAGCTTCCCCCCCTAAATTTAAAGAGCATTCCAAGCCACATGGCAAACCGCAATACAGGCACTCTCCTTGGCACATCACACACAATTTATCACTCTGAGAAATGGCCTCCTTGCCGCCCAGAAGGAGGGAGGGGACAAAAGAGGTTCTTACTGAAGCAGCGGGGTTGGCAGGCAGGGAAATCAAGCAGGGTCCTGGGAAAGGGCAAGTTGCTAATCCATCATGCCCACCCCAATAGTCTTACCTTGCTCCATGAGGCACTGCAAGCTGGCCTCCAAAGTACTGAAGTATGGACCTACAGTATCTGGTGCCAAGCTCCTGCAGTTACTTTCCTTTACCCCCCCCCCCCCCCAGTAATATTTGCAGTGCAATCTTATGCATGCTTACTCAGTAGTAAGTCCTACTTTTAGTCCATTTAATTCAACAGTTGTGTAGAACCTTTGGTCATCCAGATTTTGCTGAATGACAAGTCCATCATTCTGGTCCATTGGCCATGCTTCCTGGGGCTGGTAGTTCAGAAATCTCTGTAGTTCAGCACTCACTTGTAAGACAGTGAGGCTTACTTCCCTAGTAGGAATGAGTGAGGAATTCAGTTCAGTTCACATTTAAAGGCAGAACTACTGAAATTAATATGCAAAGCAAAACACAGCTGTGCAAGTAGATAAATAGGTACCGCTCCGGTGGGAAGGTAAATGGCATTTCCATGAGCTGTTCTGGTTTGCCAGAAGTGGCTTAGTCATGCTGGCCACATGACCCAGAAAAACTGTCTGCAGAAGCAGACAAACGCCAGCTCCCTCAGCCTGTAGAGCGAGATGAGCGCCGCAACCCCAGAGTCGTTCGCGACTGAACTTAAATGTCAGGGGTCCTTTACCTTTTTTAATGTGGACAAAACAGCATATACTAGGGCAGTGTGTGCATAAAATGCATGTATTAGTGAAAACAACAGAAATGTTAGGGGAAACTGCTTTGCAAAAATATGCATACTGTATTAGGCAAAATTGCATTCAAGCGGCTATATTAGGAGAAATTTATATGAGAATGCTGATGAATTTTCATGAGGACTTTAAAGAAACATTTGCAAATTTATATGGAAATGTGGAGAACTGAACTTAAAACTGGAAATATGAAAATGTGAGAGATACCAAAACTGGCGGGTTAACTTATCCTTAAAGGTAAAGGGACTCCTGACTGTTAGGTCCAGTCGCGGATGACTCTGGGGTTGCAGCACTCATCTCTGGCTTTACTGGCCAAGGAAGCTGGCGTTTGTCCACAGACAGCTTCCGGGTCATGTGGCTAGCATGACTAAACTTCTTCTGGCGAACCAGAGCAGCACATGGAAACGCCGTTTACCATCCCGCCAGAGTAGTACCTATTTATCTACTTGCACTTGGACATGTTTTCGAACTGCTAGGTTGGCAGGAGCAGGGACCGAGCAACGGAAACTCACCCCTCTGCGGGGATTCGAACCGCCGACCTTCTGATCGGCAAGCCCTAGGCTCTGTGGTTTAGACCACAGCACCACCTATCCTTACTCCTTAGCAAATTCATCTACAATTGCAGACTTTAGTTTGGGGTTTGAGCATGGAGACCTAGAAATATTATTTGTGTTTTAGCTAATGTATTTTTAAAAAATAAATCTGCAATTTCTGTTTTGTTAGGGATAATTCCCTTGTGGCGCAATCTTGTACATGTTTACTCAGAAGAACCTCCCATTAACTTTACTGAGACATATTTTCATGGCGGTGGGCACAGTGCAATCCTTTACTCAAAAGAGAGTCATGTTGAATGAAATGGGGCTTACTCTCATGTAAGAGGATAGAGGATTGCAGGCATTGTTGCCATTGTACAAAGACAGTTTAGATATTTTTTCCTTCTTTAATATATTCTTAGAAGAACTGTGCAGAGACAGTTAACAATTGTGAAGCCTCATTAATAAAGTTAATGAATTGATTTTGCTGTTAAGGCGTTCAATATTCCCTGCAACTAACATCATGAATATTTAATCAAACATTGATCTCAATCACTGTCTTCAAACATCAGTCAATCAGGCATGATCAATGCTGTTCATTTAATTTGGCTGTTACTTTTTTCTGTTGTTGAATCCAATAAAGCTATACTATTATTTCATTATAGGAACTTTTAATACCAGACTTACTGGAATTTCCTTTATTTTACACTAAAAAATATTCGGCTTTGCTTTATTATGTTACCTGCTTCGTGAGTCAAGTAGCCCCCACTGCTAGAAAGGGAATTTCATTGTGAAATCCTCTGCATAGTTACTCAGGTGTAAAGTCCATAAAGTTTGTGTGCATAGTCTATACCCGGGGTCCTCAAACTTTTTAAACAGGGGCCGGTTCACTGTCCCTCAAACACTGTCGGGGGCCGGACTATAGTTTTTAAAAATATGAACGAATTCCTATGCACACTGCACATATTTTATTTGTAGTGCACAAAAAACAGGACATAAGCATTCTGACATTTTCATTTTTTATTATTTTAAAAGTGATGGATCTATGCCTTTAATGATCTTAATGAACTGAGGTAGGAGAGATATGAAGCCACAGGCTTCCAAGAAAAGGTGGCTGAAGTTCCTGGAGCTCCTTCGCCCATGCCATCCTGCCCCAGCCATGCCCTTAAAAAAAATAAAAGCTGACTGCTAAATCTCCAAACCATAACTGTCAGCCTGTACTTGTGAAATGCGTATTTACATGGAAGTCGCTCCCCTACTTTTTACTCAATCCTAAACCCATTGACATGAGTGGCCATGCCTAAACCTGGAGGAGAAGCAGCAGGAGCAGCAATGGCAGGGGAGGAGGAAGAGGCATCAGATGAGGAGGCCGAGGGGAAGCCAGGGGCCCTTGCCAAGTGTGCACCGTTGCCATTGGGAAAGCCTTGCTCAGGTGCTGGGGGTGGCAGCACCGCCTCCGCTCTGATCCACGCCGTCGCCTCACCTGCGCAGAAATCCAAACATCACGGCTTTGGATTGGCTACAGGAGCTTCCTGCAGCCAATCCGAAGCTGCGCCAGTGTTGCGGAAGTCAGTCCCCATGCGGCGAGGCTTCCACAGCTTCTTCTGAAGGAAACACCATGCTACGCCGGCTTAGCTCAGCGTGCGGGGACTGACTGAGTGGGTGGCAGGGTCCACAGGTCGGATTTATGAGCCTGGTGGACTGGATCCAGGCCTTAGTTTGCCGACCCTGTGGGAAAGGAACACGCTTTGATAAGAAATGCTGAGAAGACATTAAGACTTTGAAAGATTATGAAAAAGCGTCAATAAAATTTCATGAAAAAAGCTGAGATTTGTGTTGCCAGTTATCCAATCTATAGCATCTTGAATGAATAATGATTATTATTATGCACCATGATAAACACTCTCATAAAATCTACTGACAATCAGCATTGACTAGTTATCAAATATAAAGCATGCAAAAGTATGTGTTAAGCAACCTTCTGTCTTAGCATATTCTTCAATGATAATAAAACAATGGGTTTGATCCAGGCTTTAATCTTGCTTAGAGCAGATTCATTGAAAACAACAGACCCAGTTAATCTCAACCAAGTTACAGTGCATTGATTCTACTTCGTCTGCACAAAGAATGACTAGGTCCAGACCCAATGCATTGTGAATAGTTCAAAATAAATGTTGCAGTATTGCCACATTTTGAGGTTTTATATTTACCGGTACTTGTTTATTGTTATTGAGTTTAATAATGTGCCAAATTGAAACCTGCCTATCTTCCACTGAACACCAACAATTTGCTGAATTCCTGAACACACGCATCTAAGGAAATGGGAATTACAGACAAGTTTATAGTAATATAGCCTCTTCTGCATCACTGCAGTGAAATACTGTTTGAGGTTCATGATGGAACCTGGATTTAGGAAGAGAAATCAGTTCCTAAATAAATCAAAATTTGCTTTCATTTGGAAAACCTTTGAAACGGAAAAGCTGATCTGCCACTGGGGGCAGAAACACTTTCTGAAAAAAGGAAACCTGTAAGTACTGACTGACAATTGCATTTTAAAATTACCATTAAAGAAAGAAACAATTCATACTTAAGCTTGAAACTGAGAAAAATGAAGTTTGGTTCTTTCATTAAGATTTGAGGTTCATATATTATTATCTAGGGTTTCCATATCTTAAAAGCAAAAAAGAAGACAGCCTGAGCTGCTGCCAGCCCAAGTTGGGGAAAGAGGTGAGCGGGTGCACCCACATGGGGCTGCCGCCGTGCCTGTGTACCTCTTTCCACAGCTTGGGCCGCCAGCAGTCTTGATGTTCAGAGCAGCCTAAGCCCAAGCCTAAGCCTAAAAAACACCTAAAACCCAGACATTTCCTTTAAAATGTAAAAGAAATCACCTGGATGGGCATGTTGGCCCCCCAAAGGAGGACATGTCTGGGTTTTCCTGGACATATGGCAACTCTATATCTTACAGTGCAATCCTATGCACTGAATATCATGAGAGCTGTATTTCAACTACTAGTTTGGTGGCATGCATGTTCACACACCAGTGGCATAGTGGTAAATTTTGATGTGTAGGAAATCATTTTGTCATCCCCCAGGCATGCCTCCAATAAGGTCCAAAAATGCACAGCTGTGGATCTATATACATGTGTGTATAACTTTATTGATACATACCAGAGAGCAGTAGTATACAGCACCTGTAATTCATTAGGAGCACTTGCGTAAGAGAATAGTGAGCTGAGAAAGCATAGTATAGTATCCTTTACACTGTGGTAGGCAGAAGGATGGGCTTTGTTTGGGGAGAGCTGGTTTACAGCCCTGATCGGCTAAGAAATTCACTGAGTAATATTCAGCCAGTCTCAGTCTGAGCTGAACCTACCTAACAAACAGGGCCTTCTTAAGTACAGTGGTACCTCAGGTTAAGTATTTAATTTGTTCCGGAAGTCTGTTCTTAACCTGAAACTGTTCTTATCCTGAAGCACCACTTTAGCTAATGGGGCCTCCTGCTGCCGCTGCGCCACCGGAGCACAATTTCTGTTCTCATCCTGAAGCAAAGTTCTTAACCTGAAGCACTATTTCTGGGTTAGCGGAGTCTGTAACCTGAAGCGTATGTAACCTGAGGTACCACTGTATATCCGGTGCCGTGGTGCAAAGATCCCTCCGGTGGGCCTCCCCCCCCCATTTCCCAGAGTTGTCCACCTTTTTATGTCGTTGCCAGCAGCTTTGTGGGGCTGGAGGAGGCAGGCAGGGGCTGGAGGGTGGCTCCTCCGGCGGGGAAGAGGCGGAGGCTCCGGGGCACGGCGCTGCTTCAGCAAGGCGGGCGAGGGCAGTGAGCTGATGCTGGGAGGCACCTCATCCAGCCTCTGCCTCTTCCCTGATGCCCTCCAGAACTTGGCGCCCTATGCCACTTGCCTCTATGGGCAAGACGCCCCTGCTAACAATGTATTATTTGCTAGGCTTGTCCCCTCCAGCAAACTCCATTATCCCTACTGGGGTACTAGATGAAGTGGCTACAGAGCTTATAGGTAGAACATGCACTTTTATGCAAAAGGCCCCCCACACTGTTGCTCCACTATGCCTGTGTGTGTGTGTGTGTGTGTGTGTGTGTGAGAGAGAGAGAGAGAGAGAGAGAGAGAGAGAGAGCACAAACAAAGCAGGTAGTTTGACTGCAAGCTGCGCCACCCACCCAGAAGCTGACAGCCAAAAATTAGAAAATTATTCTTCTTTTTGTCTACATAATCACTCAATCTTCTCAAAACATCCCTGATCATACCTCTGGTAACCTGATTGCAGGAGGTAAGGGCTCTGGAAAAATAATAATCTTACTAGCTAGGCATGTAAATGTGGGAGCAAATAGTCATTAAGATACCTAGTTCTATAAAAGGCTTTAAAGGACCACACTAGTAGCAGATGAGACGCCTTGATTTTAAAATGTTTTCTTTTAATTCACAAATAATTCAAATTCTTGTTTTAATAATGGTATGGATGTGGCCTACTTCCTGTCAGACTCTTTCTTTCCTGAACTGCATCAACAGATCAAACTGACCCTGAAAAAGGTGTAAATGACACCATTTTATACGGTCTCAGCCAGGATCCTCTGGGCAGTGACCTTACCTTTAATCTCTTCTTCGTCTAATGTTCGCTTCTGTGGTGGAGCATAGCCGTGAAGCCATTTCCCCACCATTGGTATCGCAGCAGCTTACAGGGATGGGACTGGGAGGTCAGGTCAGGACTCTGCTGGTGCACTGGTAGGAACACTGGATTGGAAGCATTTAACTACTCTATTGCCTTATATTTAATAGCCAATGAGAGCCAACAGAATGTTCATTAATTTACCTATCAAAACTTGACCTTTTGGATTCTTCTATTTAGTATGCAAGCTGACAGGTCAAGCTGGGACCCAGTAAGGGCACTAGAAGTTTCTGTTGTAACTGTAGAACTTGAAATGTCACCTGCAGGTGTATAAGCTAAATTAAATATAAATTAGAGATAAGCTTTTCACCTCTCACTGTAACACACCTACAACAATACTATATTCACAGCTATTCCTATATCTCCTATATCTGTGTAAAGAAAACAACAATATTTTATCTCAGATTTTACTAAAATAAAAACTCCTAAATTATCAAAAAAGATATTTTAGTCCAGATCAGGATAATTTTAAATTTAGCTTCAGGTGCACAAAGATATGAAAATAGATTATTTTATCCAGTGAAAGAATAGTCAATTTAAACAAAACAAAACAAAACAAAACAAAACAAAACAAAACACTTTGCTTTGGTAATTTCTGAATAAAAATGAAAGTTGATAAAGACTTACATAATCAACAAACTCATCCATGATTTATTGCTTGAATCACTATATCCTTACTGCACATTTTGTTTTAGAATTCTAATGTTGTTCTTTTGGACCTCATCATTCATTTTTCACACCAAGCCATAAGGGATATAACTTTTAGAACTGATTAACAGAAGACAGAACAATTTTGGCCCATATGGCATGAGAAATGCTTCCTATCTTCTTCTTTCCTTTTCCTTTTTTGGGGGCGTATGGAATTATTGGGTTACTTTTTCCTCTTAAAATATACAGCTTTGCAATTAATTTGACCTCTTTTCCATTTTCAGCAAATGAATGACTTCAGCTGAGGAAAGCAGAACTCTTCCATGAAAAATGTTGCCATTAAAAGCAGGAGAGCAAACTGCATAAATTACAAATGAACTGCTGCTGCAGCAGCAATATACAAACATGTTACCTGATTATACATGCATGTTTTCTTTGCCATTAATCCAAGAAAATAGCATGGCAATGCATGAACCTCATTGCGATCCAGATCTCTTTGTAAAGAAACACCAATTTTAAATTAGCTATGAATTTATGGGCTTTACATAACGATGTAAAGTTATAATGCTAATTTAATAGACACATTTATTTGGTCCTTTGCTTTTGACGTGCCTAACACTGGCCTTTAATACTAATAGAATGCAAATAAGCCAATCCAATGAAGGCAAAATGTCCCAGGCAGTAGGTGAACATTTGCTGCTTCTTTTTTTCACTGCCTGCAAATATTCACATAAATGCTTCTTTGCACTTATCTGGATTCAGCAGAACATACTGGAATGAGAATGTTTTGTTTTTTAAAAGTTTTATTTCAAAAATTGCTGCAAGGGCTAGAGGAAAACAGCAGCAGTGAGCCATTTGTAGTTTTTAAAAGGTCTGTTTGCTGGAAAAGAAATACGGTTCAGTGACTGGAGTAGGGTCCCATCAAAATGTGGAGGCCATCCAGCTCTATTTCTCTTTCACATCAGGAATATCTGTGGATACTCTAGACAGGTGCTTCAAATCAGTAAGGGCAGGATGAGGGCTATACACTGAAGGCCATTGGTCTGCCAACCCAATGAAGTGATATTCAAGATGGTATTCCTCCAGCTTGGGGTACTGCATTGCTGCTAGGTGCCCATTTGCCCTTCATCAGGCTATGATTCCAGCATGGGTTAGAAAACCTAATAAAACTACAATAAAATATGCAAACTTTAAGCAGAATAATTAAAACATCCATTAAAATTCAATTCACTTGTTTGCAGAGCAGAAGAACTGATAGCAGAAGAACATATCCTCCAACATTCCTCCAGTCAAAATAAGGCCATTCTGTTCTACACCAGGAAGCTTCTCCCATGTTTGATCTCACCACACACATGTACCGTATTTTTCGCTCTATAGGACACACTTTTTCCCCTCCAAAAATGAAGGGAAAATGTGTGTACGCCCTATGGAGCGAATGCAGGCTTTCGCTGAAGCCTGGAGAGCGAGAGGGGTCAATGCGCACCGACCCCTCTCGCTCTCCAGGCTTCAGGCAGCTATCCAAAAGCCTTCGGAGCGGTCCGAAGGCTTGTGGATAGCAGCCTGAAGCCCGAAGCCCGGGGATCACAGCGCCAACTCCCGCTGCGCTCCCCGGGCTTCAGGCAGCTGTCCGCAAGCCTTCAGAGTGCAGCAGGAGTTCCCGCTGCGCTCAGAAGGCTTGCGGATAGCTGCCTGTTCTGGGGGCTGGGGTCGGGGAAGCTCGGGCTTCCACCCCCAGCCCCAGCCCCAGCCCTGCAAGCTCCGGGAGCAGTGGCGAGCCTGCACGCAATCTTGCCACCGCTCCTGGACCTGTTCTGGGGGCTGGGGTCGGGGGAAGCTCGGGCTTCCCCCGCCCCAGCCCTGTGGCTAAAAACGAAGCCAAGACAGCAAGCGGGATCCATCCTGCTCGCTGTCTTGGCTTCTGCCAAAGCTGTGCACAGCCTCTCCTGGTTGGAGAGGTTGCGCGTGGCTGAAGAGGAAGCCAAGACAGCCAGCGGGATGGATCCCGCTCGCTGTCTTGGCTTCTTTGCTCTTTGGAGCTGGGGGGGGGATATTTTTTTTTCTTAATTCCCCCCCAAAAAAAACTAGGTGTGCCCTATGGTCCGGTGCGCCCTATGGAGCGAAAAATACCGTATTTCATATACACACACAGTTGTACCTCTTGTTATGTCAGTCTTCGGTTGTGTTTTTCCAGGATACGAACGCGGCAAACCCGGAAGTATAGGTGGAAGTATAGGTAAAAAGGTGGGTGGTAATAATAATAATAATAATAATAATAATAATAATAGAAACTGTGAGAATGCCAGCTTCACTGTTTCCTTTATTTGGTGCATGAATTTTATTTTTAGTATAAATAGGACTCCAATTTTGCACCTCTACACACAAACAGGGTTGGGGGAAGGAAATGGAAAACTGGGACATTCTAGAATTATATCAGAAACTGGAATGACTTCTGTAATTCCGGGACTGTCCCTGGAAAATAGGGACAGGTACCTGCAGGTATATAAATTCAATAAATAAATTCAATAAATAGGGACACTTGGAGGGTTTGCAGCTGATATATGGAGTAAATCAAGTCCCTATAAAAACCTGTTTGATCCTGGTTTAGAGGGATCACTCAAAGGACAGCTCGAATATGCAGGAAATGACCTATTAAGGGGAGAAGAGAATGCAGAGACACATGACTTGTTCTTAGTCCTTTAATCTGTAGTTTGGAGGACTGGAGAATGTGACATATGAATGCAGTCAATGAGTGATTGCTAGTTTCAAGGCTCACATTCTAGAATTCCTGGTGTTTGGCATTTGTTGAAAAGAGGCTGCTCTGCTTTTAAAATGAGCAAATTGCAAACTGGGTGGGGAAGGGCAGTAGTTGAAGTTATCAGAAAGGGAGTTATTAAGAAAACCTTCTGTGCATTCAATTTTTTATTTGCCTCTTTGACTCATGCCTCTATGATATGGCTGTGATCCTGACTCTCAAACACAAATGACGTTTATTAATTTAGCAGTTCCCAAACTGTGGTTCGTAGACCACCAGTGGCCAGCAAGCTTCATTCAGGTGGTCCATGGTATGTTGTGGATTTGTGGTTGAAGATGGCACATCCACCATATTACATATTCATATTGATTTTAATTATATTTTATTGCTTCTTTCATTTATCATATTGTATTTTATTGTACTACAATTTGAATTCTATGGAAATGCAATGCTGCAACTGGCAGAAAAATCATTAAATTGTGCACTGAAACACTCAGCAGTTTTCAAATGGTCTTGTGGGGGAAAGTTTGGGAACCACTGATTTGGAACTTACAACTAATAATTGTGTTGAAGGACAGCTTACTAGCATATGTCCTTTGCTTAGGACTTTCCTGGCTGTAACTTTGGAAAAAAATATTCCCTCTCTCTTCTTTTCACTATTATTAAAGATATATTACCTCAAATTTATATGATTGGTAAATATTACATGCTATTTTTATTAACAAAATTAATCTTTAATGCACTGAGTTTGGATTCCCCTAGGGTAAGCTGATAAGATATTGTGTGCATCATTTAAGTAGATATTGGAATTGCAATTCTGTCATTTAAAATTTAACACTGTATCATTTATCTAAAACTGCATTAAAGAAGAACAGAAATTAAAAATAACATTTATAACATTTTAAATCTTGCACGGGTTCAAAGGTGGCAAATTCTAAGGAAGCTCCTTAATTGAAGAATTCATTACGTATGCCTGTTTGTAGTAAATTAATTAAACTTTTATTCCAGATGTAAGCAAAAAGCTAATTTCTGGCTAACTGATGTAAGGAATATGGAGTCTGACATAGACAATGTACACTAATCCATCACTGAAACAGTAGTAATGCATAATTAAAAGTGCATCCAACAGTATAAACATAGATAATAGGATGATAGTATGGTATCATGAAATTTGCTCATTTCCATGTAATTTTAAAGAAATATTTTACTTGGTAGTCTAATCCCACTAATATAGTTTGGATTTCGCAAAGGGAGCGGCTATATAACTTTAGTTATACTTGGACAAAGCTAATTATCTAGAAACATTTCAGTCTGGCTTCAGACTTGGTTTTCACACTGAACTGGTCACTCTGATTGGTGACTTGTTTGGTGAGAATGACAGCAGGAATGCAACCCTAACTAGTCTTCTTGTTCTCTCAGTGGCCTTTGATACTTTTGGTCATAGTAACCTTCTGAACCAACTTGGTGGGTTGAAGATCAGATGGATGGGGTTATGGTGGTTTCACTCTTACCTACAGGAATAGTCCCAGAGGGTAGTACTGCTTGACACCATGGTAGTTGTGCTGTGAGGCTCTACATTGTTCCATATTCTTCTCTTAATATCTGTTTAATATTTAGCCATTGGCATTTCAATCTATGGATGGTTGGAAAGCTAAGCCATTTCTGGGCAGGAATAAGCTGGCCGCTATGATCCATGACATTGTAAGATAGCATTTAGACTGCCCTTGAGATGGTTTGCAGATTCCAGATACTGCAAACCACAGATTCCAGAGTTTTGATGGGTTTGATGATTAGAGCCAAAATATATCTCCATTGGCTACTGAGCCAATTTCAAGCTTGTGGTTCTGACATACTTAGAGATATCTCACCTAACATCTTTACTTCTTGGTACAAATGCTCTGTACTGTATCCTGAAAAAGTCATCACAGTCTCTGAAGAGGCATTAATCAAAGCACCCAAGGATCAGAGTTTTAGGAGTCAGTCTTCTGAAAGTCTGAACTTTGAGGGCACAGTCTCAGCTGCATTACCAGTCTGTCTAGGGATGCTTGAGCCGTTCAGTCTTCACAAATTCCAGTATGAAATAACATGATATATACCTTCTGGGTGAATGTGCAGATGAGAACTAAGTTATCTGCTAGCTTTCATGCTTGCCAATTGCTCTTTTGCAGTTCTTGGGTGGGAGGGAAGAGCTAAATGAGCTAAAAGAACTAGAAGAAAGATAGATGCAGCCTTTAGCCAAACAGTCCCTCTCTCTGCTCTAGGCAATGTTTTCAATGAGAAAGTTCAGTTGACCTCACTGAAATGAAGACACTGCCTTCCACAATATAGAATTATTTAAAATTATCCAAATGTGAGTTCACAAAAACTGAATCAGGTGACAACTTGCATTTTCTGTATATGAGATCAGAGGCAGGGGTTCAAACACCTGGGAGGTAGCAAATAACATTGACTGTTGCTGTGTCATTTAGTTTCTAGTAATGTCAAACACCTGTGAAGTGCTGGACATGATGTGTGACACAATCCAGTTTTACTTTTCCTTGCAATCCTGGGAAATGGAGACAAAACAGAGTATAATGGAAATATAAAGTGATTACTGTAACATTTCGAAACTAGTTCTAACAGCTCCATCGCAAGATAATGCCTCAATGTTCTGTTTTGTTTTTAATCTTTGATCAAATGTGTATACTGCTGGTGTTAAACAATTTAGCTGTGGCTTTATTAAATTTTCCTTTGGTAGTCTGTTATGAATTTGGTTACTTAAATGGTAACAGGGTTATAGAAATCACTTTAACATTGCTTTGCCTTTGATATGGCAGCCAGGTGTTCTTCATATGTGACTACGTGTTCAGTTTGTACTCAAAGGTTTCATATGCTTGGCAATGATGGTATGCCTGTGATGTATGTTTGTGTATAGCAAAGTTGGGCAAGTTGATGAACCTATAGTATTAATAGCTTCTAAGAGTGCAGAATCAGACTGTATGGTATATAAGAATCATGGAATTGTAAGAGCCAGTCATCCATTAACCCAGCAAATGGAACCTTTGTTCAGATTCTCTTTCTTTCAAGGTAAAAACCAAAACAAATAAATAAAAACTTACTGCAGCAGAGGATTTTCCAGATAAAATCATTTCCCTTTTAGTTTCTAAAGCTTTCAGTGAATGTCTTTTTTTGTTTCCTGCCTTTTTCGCTGCTTTCCTGTGTAATGAGAATTTTCCTTTTTTGGGTCATCTCAGGTTGCTGAGCTATCCCTCAAAGGAAGCTGGTAAGCTTTGTGCTGTTTGTTATCCTCCTATAGCAAACTTGTAAAATGAACCTTTAAATCATGCAGAGTCTCTGATGATCGAAATAAGCAAACAACGACATTGCCGCCTTACCTTCAATGTTGCATTCCCACACAACCAAGAACCAATAAAAGAAGGAAGTAGAGAGTAGAATCACCTGGGTATGCACGTCAATATTTGAATTGGGGAGAGTAGAAAAGAGGACAGCAAGGAAGGGCATCAGCTCTAAGGCATACTAATGTTGTTCATGAGTAACAGCAGCAATTTCATACACAATAGCTGTCCATACACAATTCATTGTTCTAGAAATTGAAGAGATGTCATTTTCTCCTAAGACTGGAGCACTTTACAAGCAACCACTCTCATATCTCACTGCATTCAAGAATCCAAGCTATCACAACATAATTGTATTACATGCTATACAAAGCCATCGTAACTTATTTTTAACACATAAATATGTGAAAAGCAATTTGAAATCTTTTATGGATTGTCACTGAAGAACAATAGCATATATTCCTATTGTAATTTAAAGTTTTACATATAAAATTATGTCTTGTGCATAGATACTTCTTCACATTCTTTGGTATTCAGCTGCTTATGTATAGGAATTCTATATTTTGTTCATTCTTTTGTTTGCAAGGCAAAATTGGGTAACTTACATTGCAAACATAACCATTTTTACTTAGCAGCAAGTCCTATTGAATTCAATGGAGATTACCCCAGGGTAGTGGAATATTGCAGCCTTAGATGCTATTTATTTATTTATTTGTCATGAATCACTCTGAGATCTACAGGTATAGGGCAGTATACAAATCTAATGACAAAATAAAAATAAATGGTTTCATATTCATTTCAAAATCCTGTGTGAACAGACATCTGCTCGTGAGCTGCTGCCACTGGTAGAAAGCGAACACACCTACATAGTTGAATCTGCCTTATATTAAGTAATTGGTTCACCAAGTTCAATATTGTCTCCATCTGCACTGACTGGTAGCTGCTCTCCAGGGGTCATACAGGAGTCTCTGACACAGGTTCTACCTGGAGATGCCAGGAACTGGAGCCTGGGACCTTTTGCATGAAAAACATGTGCGCTGCCTCTGAGCTATTCAACCTTTCCCTTTCTCATAGTTAAAATGGTTTTGGAATTTTCATGTGTGGACGTGCTTATTTATTTAGAGAATAAATACAAAGGAGGAGAATATATATAAATATATACGGTGAGAACCTATTCCAGTAGGCAATATTGACTGAATTCTGATTGTATAATTGTAACTGGTTTTTATTTTCATTGTACTGTACTGAGTTTCTTGTACACAGTTTAGAGATGGCCGTAGTTAAGAGGTACATAATTTGTCAAAATAACCACACACACCATCTTGAGCCCCTTGAAGAAAATGTGGGATACAAATGTAATAAGAATTAAGTATTTTTTTTTAAAAAAAAATCAGCATGATGGTCCGCAAACAAAGTAGAACTGGCTAACTACATTTTGAAATAAGACATATTACTGGCAATAGAGCCCTCCCTTTAAGACCATTAAACCCTTGTTACATTAAAAATACTTTTAAAGCACATGGCTTTCCCCATATAATTCTGGGAACTGTAGTTTGTTAAGGGTGCTTGGAATTGTAGCTCAGTGAAGGGTAAACTCCAGGCTGCTTTAGGAGAAGCCATGTGCTTTGAATGTATGATGTGAAAGAATCGTAAATTTACAAACTATACCAGTACTATAACATCCACACACACAAAAAGATCCCAGGAAGATTCCTTAGGGAATGTGTTGTGGAAATGGTACAGACCATGGAAACTGGTTACTGGCAATTGCGTGTGTAGGTCCCCAGGCCACCCCTCAAATAACTTCACACATAACACATATTTTAGTTTTGGTTTTTGGGCACTATTTTGGCCACAACTTTATTAAAATACAAAATCAGTGAGTGGTTGTTTAGACATTGGTTATGACTATCTGTCCCCCCGCCTGGGACAGAACTGACATCCCGAGGTCCGATCGGTAGCCAGTAGAAGGGAAAGTCAAACTTGGGGGTCATTTGAGCTAAGCGTCGGACCCACGCCGCTCACCCCAGCAGCTCCCCGAAGCTTGCCGGCCCAGGTCCTATGACAAGGATTCCCATGACAGGGATTGGGCGGCCCTGGTCCCATGACAGGGATTGGACGAAATCATGGCAAGCCCCAGGATTCCTTTAACGGAATTCCCTTCAGCGCAATGGGAGGGGCAGGCACGGCCTATCCTGACCCCTCCACCACCAGCATATTATAACCAATGCCTAACCGCAACCTTACAAGTTGTGACGAATTGCTGAGTAGTAGGCAAAAACCAAATGGCACAGCCAATCACCAAATGGCAAAATTCCTACTAGGCCCCTGCGCCAAGGCAGACGACCCCATGACAGGCAAAGCAAGGTCAACCGGAAAAGAGGGCGGGCGGGCAGGTGATCCGATGCACTCTGCAAAGAGAAAGAGAAACCAGAGTGCACCAATATTTAAAGACTATGGTCCCACCCACCCAATTTGCAACATACAATTTGCCCCAGCAACCCGGTTATCCAATCACAATGCCAGGCAACAACTATTAACCTGCCTGGCAACCAGAGGCCTGGCCTGGTGGCCCACACCGCAACACGTGCTCTCATTTATTGGAGAACACGCTTTTTAGAGATAGGAATTCACTGAAATTTCAGTCTCTCTTCCCTGATAAGGCCCACATGCCTATGCTACTCCTACAATATCATTTTCAGGTTGTTCCTAGAGATCTTCCTCTTCTGGGAAAATGTGTTGTGTCAATTGTGAGTGAAAGGATCTGTGAAGATTCTGAGTTATTCTCTGCCATGTTGGAATCTTGCAAAAATTCTCCACTGTTCAGAGTTCATTAGATGGTAGTTACTGTGCTCACATTACAGTGTGGGAAAAGGTCATATGCCTGTTAGAGTACAGTAACCATAATTACTCCAGAATCATTATATGGTGGGATTTGCAGGACAGGGTTTCAATTTGCCTGCTGTACTTGTGCCAAGAAATGTAGAGGGAATTGTGATTCACATGAAAGGATTTTTTTTTTTTAAGGGGGAGAGGCTGCTCTTTCAAGTCACTCCCCCCACCCTTGTAACTTCTTGTTCTGTAATTAAGCTGGATCATTTATAAGAATTCTGCAAATGGCTTTTATCTTTTGTAATCAATCATTAACACTTGGAGGCAGCGACGCTTCTGAATACCACTAGCTGGAAACCACAGGAGGGGCGTGTGCTCTTGCACTCATGTCCTGCTTGCGGGTTTCCCACAAGCATCTGCCTTGCCACTGTGAGAGCAGAATGCTGGACTAGATGGGCCATTTGCCTGGTCCTTAGTGTGTCTCCATGGAGGAACCAGAGATACTGGTTTGAAATCCATGTCCCCTGCCACTTAGATGGTGACACAGGAAACAGTTCTGTCCATTCTTTGAGTCTTGAGAAGGCAGATGAGTTTAAATCATGATTTCTTCCTTCATTGTCAGATCTTTGAGCTCGTGTCCATAGCAGACTGACTGAGGATTCACTTTGAGCTTAACATGAAGTAAAGACATCTATGAGAGTTCAATTTATAAAAATGCAAATTTTTTTAGCCTGGATTTATTTTTCTAAAAGGATTGCAAATCCTAGATGTCAAATTATGCACTAGGCATTTAAATAGTTCAAACCGGAAAGCTTTTCGTAATCTTGAGAACAAAAGCTGCGCATTAAATTTAGTACTTCAGAAGTTCAGCAGCATTACTTTTAAATGTTTAGCATGAATTTCTTATAAAAAGCTAATGTCCAATCTCTTATTGTGTGCATGGGTGTATCCATAGCACATTAATTAGCACAAGCAGTTTGTGATCTGTATACAGAGAACTAGGGATGGATCCAAAACCTAATCTAGGATATGTGTTTTAGTTGAACTTTTTTTTGACATAAGAGCTACAAGGTGCCCAATTCAATGCTCTATTAGGCCAAATATCTTTGCCCATATATTCAAATGAACCACAGAGGTTATTAACTTGCCCTTGGCAAAAAGATTTAGTTTTCTAGGGCAAATGCTTTTATAAATTCTACATGTGACAGTTTTATTACATATTGTAAATAGAATAGCTTGCCAGATTTTTATGACAGCCATCACTAAGTCATTCAGACCTTATTACTTTTCAACCCTTCATGTACCTTGAATGTTCTTTTAAAAAAGAAAGTGGGGTGGGGGGAGAGACATTTTTAGCATGTTTGATTTTTTAACGTTGCAGTTTTTGCATATTGGAGGGTAGTTATGCTTGCATGCATGATTATTTAGATAGTTTTAGATTATAGTCGACTCATACATCTTTTTGCTAAAAGGCTACACGATAATGATGCAGACAGACATTAATTTACGTGTTCTACATTTATAGCCATGGACTCATTTAAGCTTGTACAGTTACTGATAGTATTTATTTTAATGGTGTCTGTACCCAGCTGCATACCTCTGCTGAGTCTTCCAAGCTGTAACCAGTGGGTGTTCTTGTACCTATTGCAGTTGGTGGTTTAACTTCAGTGGTTCATATTTCATAATAATGTACAGGTTTTATTACACTAAAAAGAAGGGCTTGCCCAGTTTTCATATTAACCATCATAGAGCCATATATCAACTAGATGTTTATTCCAGGTTGTTTTTTCCCTGTCTTTCTTCCATGTTTACTCTCAGATATCTAAAAGTTAAATTTTTAAAATGCATCACCATTTAATTTTGCATTGAATTAACCTTTTCATTTTTTTATCAAAACATGTTACATTATGCCTGCTATGCTCCGTGCCTTTCACACCTGAAAGTGAAAGATACCAGCAAGCTTTCCAGCAGCAGCCAAAATTCTGCTCACATTGCTAATATTATTTTTATTATCCATGTTCCTCTAGAAGTTACTAACAAAGATTAAAATAGTCCTGACAGGTTTTCAAATACACCTTGTATGATGTGCACTATTTACGGTACTTTTCTGAACAACTCATGATGTGATATATGAGATAAAACCTAGAATGGTTTGAAATGAACCCTGGGCTGAATCTTTTGCAATGCATTTTGATTCTAAGTAAAACTGACCTGCATTATTTTCATAAAAAGCTTATACCAAGTCAGACCATTGGTCCTCTAGCTCAGCCTTTGCCAACCTGGTGGCCTTCAAATCCTGTCAGTCTCAGCCAGCCCCCACTTGGTAGAGGCAGCTCCAGGCCAATACTGTATATAACTTAAATTGTATTGTTTTACTACTTGGTTGGAATGAATGAATTTTATTATCTACAGTGATTGTTAGTAGTGCTCTGGCATTTCAGACAGGGATCTTTCCTAGTACTACCTGGGATCTTCTGCATGCAAAGCATGTGGTCTACCACTGAGCCACACTTCTACTCCATGTTACTTTCTGTAACATGGACTTGTTTCCACTGAAGTGGCATGCATATAAATAATGTGATGCAGGAACAGAGCCAGTCAAGTTGGAACCTCATCTTGGTGGGCTGCCAAATCATGGCAAATACCTGTGTAATCACCCATGTAATCTCATTACACACCACATGGAAGTGGTAATCCCTTGGGTCTTATTCTGATCAGAGGTAGCTCCTGTGAAGCACTTTCTTACTTGTTTATTTATTATGACATTTATATAGCACCCAATAGAGGTGCTATATAAATAGAGGCTAAAATCAATTAAATACAAAAATAAGACCATAAACATGTAAAATCGAATGCAGCATAACACTAATACATCATAAATTCTATAGCAGAAGATATACAACAAAGCTCACTGCAGCACCAAATATTCACAGATCTTAGTACTCCACAAGTATCCGAAAGGTCGACAAATCATTAAAAAGAATTAAAACCCGGGGGTGGGGAGATAAAGTTTTCAGTTGGTACTGAAAGGATGACAACAGGGATACCAGGTGAGCATCTCTGGGGAGGCTATTCCATAACAAGGGTGCCACTAGTTGTCACCTGCTTCCATTTATTTGCTGTAGACATCTGAAGGGACTCAGAAAATGGCTTTAACTCCACATAACTTTGAAAGAGATGATACTTCTGAAAATCTGATTAAAAGCCGTTTAGAAATATAATGGTTATTAATAATATTTTGAATTAGGCCTGGAAATTGGCTGGAATTGGATCTGGAAATCATCTGAATGACAAAGCACTGGCACAATATGATTTTACCCATGACAACCATTTTGTGTTATGTCATGTCTCCTCAATGGCGACCATTTTGTGACTGGTGCCTCCAGCATTCTCTCAAAATTCAAATGTGCCCATTGGTGGCCTCTGCCTGAAGGCATTCACAGGCTAGGGTCCTCTCTCTCTCTCTCTCTCTCTTTTTAAAAAATAATCTTTATTGCTTTTAAAACTTACAAGAAAAGAAGAAAGAAAATAAGCGAAAGAAAAAGACAAAATAGAGCAGAGCAGAAAAGAAAAAAGAGAGAGAAAGAAAAGAAAAAACAATGCAGTACAATACAATAAACAATACAAAACACAACCTTAACACACTAAACTAAACTAAGCAAAAGAACAACAATTTAAAAACATATATCATACCATTTCATTACTCTATCTTTCATTCCCTTATTTCATCGACCTCCTCTCACCTCCCTTTTGTATTCCACTTCTATTACTTGTTTCAGCAATTCCTTTCCATCTTTCTCTGTTTTTATCATTATGAATATCTTAACATATTTTGTACCTTATTTTCCATTAATACTGAAATACTTATTTATACCTAACTCCTTATAACATTTCTGCTAAAGCTATAAAATTTCATTCCAACAATTTTCTAACACTCATTAAATTTACAATATTTCTATATATAAACTTTAAACTTTCCCAACCTTCTGCCACCATCTCTTCTCCCTGGTCTCGGATTCTGCCAGTCATTTCCGTCCATTCCATATAGTTCATCAACCTGGAGATCTTCTGTCCGAGGCTCTTAAATCTTTTCCAAGTCCCTTCTGCAGTTTTTCTTCATATTCTTTGATGCTGAGGGTGCTGAAGCGCAGGTCTTTATTACATCTTTATTACAATGGAGGTATCTTTAGGATGGGTAACCTGTGGTAATACATTTTTTAAAATAATATTTGGAATTTTTGCATGTTTTTTGTAATTAATTTTAATGTATAATGTTTTATTCTTATGTTTAAGAGGATTACTTATTTAGCTGTTAATTGTGTCCAATAATTGGGAATTTATTTATGGTGTTTTTGTTTTTTGTCTTAATGATATTTTAGAGATGTTGGCAATCTCTCCCTAAAACATAAGCAATTGTCTAAATAAATTTTAAAAACTGTGGTATTTTATCTGAGGGACCATGGCATATACAAAAACACAAAAGGAGTCTTCTGGCACCTGGAAGACTAACAAATGTTATTAAGGCATCAACTTTTGTGGTTAAGATTTCATCAAGTGGTCTACAAAAGCATGTGTTGGTTTTTAAGCTGCTGCAAGACTCTTTGTTGTTTCTTGCTGCAGCACAGACTAATACAGCTTCCCCTTTGTACATTGTTGAACATACAAGAAGACATTTCTTAGAGCAGGAGATCTCAAGTGATGAACATATATGTGCAAACCAGCTTACACTATGCTGTGATGGTTAATAGAAGCATGGAATACATACAGTGGACATTTGAAAAATTCAGGAGCCTCAGGCAGAAATACATAATGTGAGATTCAGCCCATCCCTACTGTTATTTTTACGCTGTGGAGATGTGCTACAAAACAAACCTAATTCATGATTGCTATTGGAAGTGGTTTGCAATTATTCTTTTCAGGCAAAAAACATTACCTTGGGGGACTTAGCTTTCTCATACATCAACATGTTATTGCATTTGTGAGAGTATTTCCTTCCCGCCACACCTCACTTTTTGACTGACACAGCTAATTAGAACAGTTCTTGAACTTAATGTGATTTTCTGGCTGACAATGACCATTCCAAAAGGGGCATGAATAGAACAACCTGGCTTTAGGAGATACTGGGTTTTTAAATGGCAGCTTCCTTTTCTGCAGCATAAAATCAAAACATATTTTGGCACAACATAGTATTTCATATAATACCTTGAAAGCAAGCCCAGAAGGTGTGGTTATCCTGAGATAATCACCCTCAGGGGGGATTAGAAGCAATCTGCTCATAAAAACACATCAGCAAATGGAAAAGTCTGCAGAGAAGAAGTGGGAGGGCAATGAGAAAGAGTCTATGTCCATGGGAGCTGTTGACTGTAATTACAAATAATTCATTGGTAGCTTAATTCCAGCTACTGATGTCATGGGTAGATAAAAAATGTAGTTTTCAAATTGCCGTTTTCTTCCATTGTTTTTCTGGGAGTGCAGTCCTTACGCAATGTATGAAACAGAGTACCAAGCTGGAGCATATCATGGGATTTCTTTCACAATGTCATTCCATCTTACCATGATTCCCTTGTCATGGTCAGAACACCTCTCAGTGAGATTTAGGCTGTCAGTTGTCTTTCCCCACCCCGCCCACAGATGTGGGGGACCTATTAGGATGATAGACCCTTAGAAGAGGTTTCCAGATAGCTCTGGGGTTTTTTCCAGCAGACAGGTTTGGTCTGCCATGATCACCACTGTATGCCCTTTTCCACTTTGCCAGGCCCAGGTGGTGTATTGATATACCCTGAAGCTAAGGACAATGTATCAGGTTGGAAGATGGCTGGAGTAGAAGTGGTCAAAAACTCCTAATGAATGCAATCAAGTATAAATGTGTGCTCATTCTCAAGCCTACTTTGTGGCACTGAAGGCAGTGAAGAAAAGTTACTTCACTGCCTCTATTGCATCCTTGGTGTCTCATTTAGTGGAACTTTATAGTGTGGCGTAAAGATTCTGATCCAAAGAACATGGAGAAATTGACCTGCTATAATAGAGTGTAGGTCCCTACAGATACAAGTGATTTTATCTTCAAAATGCCTTTTGGTTCAGTCTCAGAAGGCTACTGAGGGTTCTATCACATCCTCTGGGCCATAATGAGGATTTTCAAGATAAATTTCAATCAGTGTTTATGCCCAGTTTTAACACTGAGACCACTTTGGTCATCCTATATTATGACTTATGTTGGGAAAGGGTTAGAGGTAGTGGGTCCCTTTTGATTCTTCTTGACATCTCAGTGGCTCTTGATACCATCCATCATGGTATGCCTCTGGGGAGTCTGAGCTTAGAGTAGGGGGTAGGGAGTATTGTTTTGCAGTGATTCCACTCATACTCATATTGTTATCTCCAGAAGGTTGCACTTGTAGGATGTTGCTCAGCCCCATGGAATCTCCAGTGTGATTTGGGCATCCATGCTGTTTAACTTCTACATTAAATGACTGAGTGGGATCATCCCCCCATAATGTTATGTGATTTTATTATTGTATTGTTTATTTTGATTGTAAATCACTTTGGGACTCCTCAGTGGGAAGTGATGTAAATCTAATAAACCTAAATGTAAACACTTCCTCACATCATGTTTGGTTGGGGGTAGCTTTGTCCTTGGCCTATTGTGTAGTCTGTCAGCAAATGTAATTCTGTGGTGTAGCCATGGTTCGATTTTTTAAAATCAGATCATACAGATTTTGGATTTTGAACATGGGAGACTTTAATTTTTGGCAGAGTGGAATCATTTAAAAAACAACATGTCACCTATTATTCAGTTAAATAACATACTTTAGTCAAACTATGCCTGTTGCAGATCTGATGGGATGATCCAGGGTGTGGATTGGTAGCTGGCTAAGTAATTGAATTTGTCACCATGACAGGTGATGCAGGAAGGGGTAGTTTAGCTGTCATAGTGAACACTAAGGGGCACCAACTTAGTGAAGAGATGTTCGCCCAACGTACTATTCATTGCCAGCCAGCTTGAGAGGAAATTGTGAGGGAGCACAGAACTTGGGTTCCTGGATATTTCTCTGAACGATGTGCCAGTACATGCAGATCTCAGATGTTGTCCTGGTCTCATCTTTAAGGTGAGAAGGAGAGGATGGACACAGGTCAGCTGCCACCCTGAAATGGTGCTCAAAGCTGGAGTCGTGTTGTTCAGGTAACCAGAGCAGAAGTTTCTCTTAAGCCTTTCCTTGGTTTTAATGAAGTTGGGACTTCGTTACATGTCTCAAATATGTATCATGTTTTCATTCCTTGCTACTGTATAATATTTTATATGAATGGTATAAAAGACTAAATAGGAGATGTGTTTTCCTAGCAAATTATCTTTCTTGCACAGATTGCACAGATTCTTGTAGATTAGATGTGTCCAGGTTCATATAACTTCTTATCAAAATTAATATTTCAAAATGTATTTTCTAAAAAATTGAATACATTCTCAATCTGGCATCAGCTTGAGGCTTTTCTCATTCTTTCTCACGTTCATAAAGAAGCTGAAATATATAATTAATGTTGCTTGTTGCTGCATGCTAAAATATATGAAGAGCTTATATAGTATTCTGATCAGATACTACTACCATGATACCCTATTACTGAATACCATTTAGAGAGAAAAGTCATCTACTTGAAGAGTAGGGTTTTCGGTCCATACTCTGTCTAGTGTGCCTACACCATCATTTTTCAAGTATTGCATTTATAGCTTATGAAAATTGATCTTTATATGTAGGAACAGTACATTTAAAATGACATATTTATGAGAAATGATGGCATACTTTGATAAAAAAAGAGCATTGTTCAGAAACATGGTATATGAACATGGTAGTAACTTGCCAAGTCTGGATGTGCTGAACAGATCTGTGAGTACAATTATTTGTGACCCCCATAAATGACTTCTTCATTATTGCCATCCAAGGAAGTATGGCTGGGTTTTGCATGCTGAAATACATGCTTGACTTCAAGCATTTAAGCAGTAATCTTTGGAACTTATTAAAGAGCAATGCAGATTTAACAACATCCTCTTTCTGAAAACGGCCACTCTGATTTATTTGTCTTGAGCATACTGTATTTATCTCATGAACGAATAAGGTTTATTTAAGAAGAGAGATATACAGTAGCCATATCCATACAATTACACCAAAATTTTCTTCTTTTCTCAAAAGACAAGTTGTCAGTGATGTTTTCAGATTTGTTGATGTGTCCATATGTACCTCCATTTTTTAAAAAAAGAAAATTATAAATGTACAAAGCTCCTGCTCATGATTAATGATGCCTGGCAGATCTGTGATCTTGAATGAAAAACTATATGCAGTGGGCTAATGAATCCTATAGATATGAATCTTCTGGCTTCAAGGTCCACCCCCATCCACTGCACCCAAGCTGCCCTCAGCTTTGGAGATTGCAGGAGGAGGGAAATAGAAAAGTGTTATGGGAGTGGGGGAACACCTTTGTTTTTACACTATTCCCTTCCATTGGGTGGAAACACCAGTTGCTTC